ACAGTCCAAATGTCCTTTTTCCTTTTTTGTTATCCTTTGAGGATGAAGGCTATATATTCCAGAACTTGTACTGCCAGCTGGCTTTCAGTTCAGCTCACTGGCAATAATGAACACCATAGAACATAAGCCTAGAAACAAACTTTGAAGTAGGTCATATTGCTCTGGAGGGCAAATATCAAAGCTGACTACATTGGCAACCCAAAGATATAAAATTTCACAAAGATCCCCACAGAAGGGTGATTCTCTTCTATTTGATATCCATTACCTACTCATTTGGTCTAAAAAGAAAAAGGTCAACAGTAAATATCACCACATAAATGTATCTTAATATTTCTAAAAGGATGAGGTTAAAATGCAGATATTTAATATGTTCTCTTTCTTAAATCCCCAGGTATATGTAGCTTTGATGTGATATGCAAATGACTTATGAATTTAAGCCAAGTAAAAGATTTACTCTCATGAGAAAACTGATTCTGCTAATAGTGCTGGATCCATATTGCAGACATAAGACATACTATAATAGAGTCACTCTCTTTTCTTTTGCTGATGAGCATGTGCATTAGGCATGTGTACCTGAATTGGGAATTGTAATTGGAAAAGGGGACAGATTCTAAGTTTGCCCCAAGTGATTTGTTTTCTGATTTTGATTCAGATCTTTTTATACTCCATTTCAGAAGAATCACTCCATTAAATTAACTTTTGACTTTGCGAGTATGATCTTTTGTTCTTAGCTGAGATTGTCATGATTGAGTAAAAGAGGAAAAACAATAGCACCTACCAAGAAATGAGGCAAAAACATGGAGACAGTTAAAATAACGCCACTGAGTAATATTCACTTTGAAATGTATTGTCCTACAGCAAAGTACTGTTCAGCTTGAGATCACAATATGTTTGTAAATAGTGAAATGCATCTGCCTACAGTTAAGCTAGGTTTTGGCACATTTTTTAATAAGATTTCTTAAAGGCATTAGCTCTTTTATAAAATTTTCCCCTGCCCCTATGTAGTGTATAAATACAGTGGGCCCTTTACTTATGAACTCTGTTCATTCATGAGGGCTGGTTATAACTCAGGTTGATTGTAAGACAAGACTATTTTCCTGTAAGAAATACTGGAAATACTCAGAATGCATCCCGAACCTCCCAAAGCACCACTTAACAAAGGTTTTTGAAATAAAAAGACTGCATAATGTGTGTAATTTACCAACAACTATAATTATACACTGTATTCACCATTCAAGTTGACATCTTTGGTTTGCAGAGAGAATAGAATGAAAGGTGGTTTTGCTTTGGAAGAAGAGGCCCCTTCCATAAGAATGTCAGGACTCTGGTTCTCTGGGGTCCTTTCTGTCCTTGGGAGAGTCTGTAGCAGACTAGGACCTGCTTCTGGCTCTCTAGGTCTCAACCTTTTTAGAACTAAAACCTGGCCCAAGGTTGTGTACTTCTGTCTTTCCTGCAACACTGTCCTGTAGTATGACACGACACCATCATTAAGCAAGTGAATACAACAACTCACTTTTTCTGTCTGGTTGTCCGGGTGGGTGTTATGGTTGATACATTGCGTCAACTTGGGGAGTCTAGAGGTTTGGCTAAGTGACTCAGCAGGAAGCCAGGGTGCTTACTTTGTATACAACCTGAGCCTATGGAAGAGGAGGGCATGGAGATTATGTGAGAGCTACATGCCCCTTAGGTGAGGGTAGCCTGTTTACAAAGTAAGGGAGGGAAAGAAGCTGCTTGCCACCATTCCTCCCTTTTGCTCTTGTTTTTGCTGTCTTCCACCGCCATGAACATTGGCCCTCTGCCATGGGCCACCCTGCCTCGGAACCAACCAAGTATGGACTGCAACCTCCACAAACTGAGCTAAACCTTTCCTTCCTTAATTTTGGGAATTGGGTATTTTGTCTCAGCAAAGAGAGAAAAGTAACTAAGACAGTGAGTCTTCTCTACAAATGTTTGCAGCTTTGTCCATTTTCTTAGGATTTCTTTTATTTCAGAAGAATTTTGCTTCACTGATTGCTGATACTCCTCCTCCTCTTGAAAAAGCTCCTCAGTTGCTGTTCTCTATTACTCAGCCAGAAGTTGCTGAAGTTCCTCTGTAGGCAACTCCTCTGAGTGCTCCTCCACCATTTCCTCAACGTCATCATCTGCAAGCCTATGGACTCTGCTATGGTGACAATGCCATCACCACAAGCTCAGTTAAAGGCTCAAGCTCTTCTACACAGCCTTCCAAGTATCTCTCCTGCATAATTTTAGGCCTCACTTCTAGGTAGCTCTCAGTGTCCTTAGAGAGATGTTGGCCCAGGAGTCCTCAGTTAACCCCACACAGAAAAGGATGTTGTCATGATCCTTTCAGAACACTTAAATGTGTTAAATCTGTATCTGAGACCACCTGAAAGCACTTCAGGATTATTCCATTAGTGTGTAGCTTCTTAAAGTTAGCTGTGACCTGCTGGTCCTTAGGCTGCAGTAGAGGAGTTCTATTAGGTGGGAAGAACTCGACTGAGAACCATGGGAATTCTTCAGCCAGTTCTTCCTCCAAATCTCATGGGTGAGCAAGAATACTGTCCATGATGAGGAGAGCCTTGAGTCATAGACCTCTGTCTTCTAGATATTTCTTCACAGTAGGACAGAAAAGTTCCTGATCTATTCAAGACAAAGTACTCTTGTTAGTCAGGTTTTTGCATTAGATCTGCACATGACCCCTAGCCTCTTCTTCATGACTTTATGTTTGCTGAACACTCCAGGGGTCTCAGAGTGATAAACTAAGAGAACTTTATTTTGAGGTCACCACTCACATTGGCACATGGCAATAAGGTTAGCCTATCCTTCGTTGTTTGTGGCCTGACATTTTCTTCTCCTCTTGGGTAATGTATGTTTTCCTGGGCATCTTCTTCCAGAAAAGGGCAATTTCATCACAGGTGAAAACTTGATTAAAGCAAAATCCCTTTCTCTGTGCCATCATTTTGAAGTGGTGTATGTAATTTTTAGCAGCCCTTTGATCAGCCCTGGATGCTTCACCATGCCTAGTTATGCTGTGAACCCCAGTTTTCTCAGTTTGAAATTGTGAAACCACCCCTTATTGGCACGAAATAGCTCACTATTATCACTTACATACAGATTATCTGTTGTGAAATCATATTTATCGATCTAGATTTTTCACAAGTTATAGACTTGGGTATGCTATAACTTGCCATCTGCCTTTCATTTATCCTCACTAATAGCAGCCTTTAAACCTCACCTAACACTATTGATCATGACTTATTAATTTGAGTAAGACATTTAGCAACACTAGCTTCCTTACACAAATCTTTTCTCTGTAACACTGTTGAAAAGGCAGATTTTGACATGTTGTACATATCACATAAATGCCACTCTCAAATTTCTCAACCATTTCCTTCTCCTTTTCTATTGTCATTGCTTTCTTTACCTTCCCTTCCTTCCTTAGCTTCTTCTCTAGCTTTTTCAGAACCATTTTGATTGCAGTAGCTGCAAACACATACACTTACATAGCCTCTTCTGGAACCACAAGTCTTTGTTTACAACCACAAAAGTAGGCAGTATTTGGATTGCAACTCAAATCTTTGGTCATAAGTTAAACCTAAAATTCCAGTTGTTACCCAAGTTGTTCCTATACGAGGCCAGTTGTAACTCAAAGGTCCACTGTAAATTATTAAACTATTTTTAGTTTGCTATTTCTTATAAATGTCTTTCTCTTTTTATATCTCAGACAACACAGATATAGAAATTTCAACAAATATTTACTGGATATACCCTGACTGTATATATTACACTGTCACAAAAAGATGATGCAGTGTATAAGCAAACATGATCCATACTCCTGAAGTTTGCACTTTAATAGGTAAGCCAAAGGATCTATATTAATTATAAATGACTGGAAAATTGTCTATGATAAAAATTATGTGAAGCAAAATTAAAGTTTGTTATCTTATAGTGAAGCAAAGGAAGAGAACTTGGACCCAATTTGAAGGTAATATGTCTGTTTCTGTTTTTTTTTTTTTCTTCTCCCCTCTTTCTTTTGCTATTGTCAGTTTCATGTTATGCATTATTTTCCAGTTAAACAAACTTAGTTTTCTTTTTTCTTTTAGACAACTTTACAGGTTGTCTAAAAGGGAGATTTTTTTCACCTAATCTTCAGGGTTTATAAGTGCTAAGAATTGCAAAAAAAAAAAAAATGCTTTAGAGTTTCCTCAAACATGTCTGCAATGATGATGTAACATTAGGATTTTACTCTCATCGCTGCCGACTTTCTTGATAATCTAGCACCTTCCTCTGCTGATCAGGAAAGAAAACTTGGATTCCTAAGGATTTCAACCCTCTGAGCCTTCAGGGGATTCTTTTATTCTTTATTTATTCTCTTGTCACCCAGTGTGACCTTTTCCCCCAATGCAATAAGGATGTACTCGAGGCTTTTTGAACATTTTATTTGTGGAAGAAATAGAGGTACAAACTCTAGCATTTTAGCAATTGCTACCCAATTACTAATGGCCTGGTTGAACCAAATCTAGAAAGACTAAACTTACTAGAGAAAATGAAAAGTTTGAACATATTCTTACAGGGTTGATAAGCAGTTAAGTGTGGGCTGAGGATATAGAACAGTGGTACAGCATCTACCCAGCAAGTACAAGGTCTCGAGTTCAATTCCCAGTACTAAAAGAAAAAGTAAGTAGTTAAGTGTTACATCTACTTATAATTTTCACATCAGGTACTATTGTATGGCATCACACTGATTTCATATGAAACAAATGTATTATCCCAGTAAAGCAGATATACAATGAAGAGCATACTTAAGGGGACTATTTTAGACTCTAAGAATATCTTCCTCCTAACTGAAGAGCCACATATAATGAAAATAAGGTAATTTTTATTGAAACACAGGCTGTTTAGATCTTCTAATTCAATAAACAAAACTATGTATGTTGCCATCAAATATAAAAAATTCACCTTTGTATTAGTATCTTGAGAAGACAAAGATTGTTGGTTACCTCAGGTGATCCAAAACCTCCCAGAATCCTCAGGAATTGCCAGAGCTGACCTACTTCTTAGCAGGAAAATGTACAAGGGTATAGAGGACAGAGGGCCTGTTGAAAAACAAAAAAGAAACAACATATTACCATCAATCTCATAGTAATGCTGAGAATAGGTCTTCTTAGAGAAAAAGCTATGGCTATGATTTGATACAATAAAGGAAATGATCTAAGAGGTCAGAGCCACAGGAGGAAATATCTCTATAATACAGAAGTGAGGGACTCCATTTTTGTCTACAGCAGCTAATGATGTCTGGAAAATGCTCACGTAAGCAAAAGAAGATGGAAATGATGAAGCTGGCCACAGATGTCCAGAATATGAACCTTCGTGTCTGTGCAGTCACGAAAGAAAGATGGTCTCTCCAGCAGGCACAGTATGGATGATTAGAACACTCCTCGATGCTCCAAATGACTTCCAAAGCTCAGTAGAAATTCTATGCTGTATCTCTGGGAAGAAAAATTGAGTAAAAAACAAACACAGAGTTTTACAATTTCCTATATTATTCTGGGATATAGGAATCACAATTTTCTTTCTTCTTCCAAATATTATAGGCACCAAAGACACATCACTTAAAACAAGAAAGTGCTCCATTTTTGCAATTACAGAAGATTTTGAAATCTGCTGAACATATAGCAGGTATCTGGTTTCTTTAATGAAAGGTTAAACAGTTTTGTATTGAATTAAATATTACTCTAGTTCAACACATTCAATTGTCTTTTTCTGAATTTGCATCAACAATAGGTATAGGAATTACCTGAGGAGAACTGTGAAGAGCATCTTTGTAATGTTTCTTTAAATTTTATTAGTACATGTTTGCAGTACATAATGCTTACATTCACTTATGATGGTCCACATACATAGCACAGTTCCCTTTCCTTCTGCTCCTGCCTGCTCCACTCCCTTTTATTTTCACAGCATTAGATTGAGTTATTAAATTCATTATCATATACACAGATTGAAAACCAGACTAATAGGACAAAGAACATATAACACATGAATATATATATGAAATATATATGCATATATAAATTCCCTTTCTCATATAAGAGAAACCATGTAATATTTAAGCTATGAGTCAGAGTTATTTCACTTAAAATTATGACATCAAGGTTCATCTATTTGCCTACAAATGACTCAGGTTTCTCCTTTACATGGCAGAAGAGTACTCCTTTGTGCATAAACACCACATATTTTACCCGTTCATCTGTTCATGGACATACAGGCTGTTTCCTTTCAGCTATTATGAATTGGGCTACTATAACTATGGGCATGCATACATCAGTGGAAAATGTCTTTAACCATTTGGGAAGATACCTAGAAGAGGAATGGCTGTGTCAAATGGAATTTCTACCTCTGGTTTTTTGAGGAATCTCCATATTGAGTTACATATCAGTTTATAGTTCCACCCACAATGGAGAAGGGTTCCTTTCTCCCCACAGCCTCACCAGCATTTGTTGTGGTTGATTTCTTGAAGGCAGCCATTCTTTCTAGATTATGGAATTTCAGTGTTATTTAAATTTGCATTTCTTGAAAGGCCAGTGATGAGCTATTTCTCATGTATTTATTGACCATTTGTATTAATTCATCTGAGGAATGCTATTCATTTGAAATGTCAATTTTTAATTCAAGTCTTTAAATTTGGGTTTTAAATGTTTAGGGTTCTTTATATATTTTAGATATTTGTCCTTTGTCTGAGCAGTAGCTAGAGAAAAATTTTCCCATCCTATTAGGTTATCTATTCACTCTATTAGTGGTTTCCTTTGCTGTGAAGAAGCTTTTCAATTTGATGTGATCCCATTTGTTGATCCTAGGTATTATTTTTTGTGCAACCAAGGTTTTGTTCAGAAAGTCTTTGCCTACATCCATGTCTTCAAGAGTTTTACCTATTTTGTCTTCCAGCAGGTTAAGTGTTTCTGTGCTATTGTTCACATCTTTGATCCATTTTTATTTTAGTTTAGTGCATGGTGAAAGATACTAACCTTTGGAGTGTGGTTAGGTAATTTTCGCAGCATCATTTGTTAAAGAAGCTATCTTTCCTCCAGTGAAGGCATTTGACCCCTTCATCAAAGAAAACATGGCTGAGTGTGCCTGGAGTTGTTTCCATATCTTCAAGTCTGATCCATGAGTCTTGTTGTTTATCGGGTTGATTGATTGGTTGGTTTGTTGGTTGTTCAATTGGTTGTGGTTTGGCATGGTATGGAAGTGTATCTTTGAGATTAAAAGACTTAGTCTGTCTTCCAGAAGACGGGTTACAGAAAAAAATCAATTCAGTGATCTGAAAGTAATCTGGAAGCTGACTATGAAGTGTTTCAGAAGATAGATAAAGCCAGTAAACACTTGGGGTTGTGAATTTATCATGGAATAAAGTATATATCTATGGGTTAAAAATGCAAAACAATTTGAGCATTTATGAATACAAAAGTATACTACTCTAAGCATAAATTGTTTCCTCAAATCATGTCTTTTAAGCATATTATTTGCATGGTTAATCCATAACTCAGAGTAAATATTTAATAAATAACTTTGGGTAGGAAAAGGAGGCTATGGAAGGAGAGAGAGAGAGAGAGAGAGAGAGAGAGAGAGAGAGAGAGAGAGAGAGAGAATTAAGGAAGAAGCTACTGTTGATCATCATGCCAGAAACTTCTTTGTGACCTCTTGACCCAAAATCATCCCTGATACTTTTCTGCAACTTCTCCTGTCTTTACACCTACATGAGTAATATAGAATTAATTTTGTGGGGACTGGGGATATAGCTCAGCAGCGCAGTACCTGCCTGGCAAGTGCAAAGTCCTGAGTTCAATTCCCAGTACCAAATATAATTAATTTTGCCTCTTCCTCTACTTCTATCTCTTTTTCTTTGTATGAAGCACTCCAGGATGGAAAATTTAGTAAAGAATAAACTCTTAAGTATTTGTGCAAGGTCTAAACTAGCATCCATTTATAGGTTTACAAGAGTCTACATAGGGGTAAAACTGAATTACAAAATCATTTAAACTGAGCATACAACGAATGGAGGCAGAGTTCTTTTTGAATGGAAGCACAACTAAAACCAATCACATGAACTTATTCTTACAGAGACTTTTCTTGGTATCTTCAAGACCTAACTCCTAATCAAAAGAGGTTAAAATTCTTTTATGAGTACAATTCCAGAACAAAAGCCAACTGCATGATACGTGCCAGTCAGTGAATCTATTGACATGCTGGTTTCCTTTCTATAAAGTAGAACTCTTTTCCAGCAAAACAAGGATTCAAAGCTAAAGGTTCCATTCTGGTTAGCAAAGAAAAACTGACTTTCATGGTCTAGACATGGTCTAGACGAACTGCTCAAGAGAACCTGAGTGCTCATAAGAATCACATGCACACTTGGGTGTGCAAATCTTTGAATCCTGTGCTCCTGCATATAGTTTATACATGATATAGGCCCTACATGTGGCTGTTACCTACACAGCAGCTGAATGTCTCATCGCTACATTTTCACGTCCCTATTTAGCAACGTTGTATACGGTACCCAGCACTATCTAGGATAGGAACCACTAGGATTTGTAAAGGTGACCTGAGTGCCTTAGCTTGCCACTACTTTGCTTGAATTAAGTCTTTTTCTGAAGAAAATAAGAGAGCTTAGTATTCTTTTCCTTTCTTAAATGTCTTATTATGGCTACAGGGTTAATGCTCTAGTGGCCCACAATAAGCTCTTCTCAAAACAGGTGGCATGAACACATTAATATTATTGTGTGTCAGATTCACCTTAACACTATAGCCATACATTTTATATATCTACATAATTATCATTCCTTCATATATGTACCTGACAATCTGATTCTAATGTAACTATGAAAATAATATTTTTCTTTTTTTCCAAAAGTACAAATAGAAGCGCTACACAAAGCAAATGTTTCACCTTGAATCACAAAACTAGAAAATTCTCATTCCAGATTTGAATACTGCACTATTTGACTAATGAATCCCTTGTCCTTTTCTGCTCCATCATACTATGTTTGACATGCAAAGACGTATATCTTGGTGAACTCTGCAGACTATTTCAGTTTTGTATCAGTTCAGCACAACATAAAAGTCCTTCATCAAATGTTATGAAGAGGGATCTATTAAATTTTCCTGCTATTGGAGACAGTGCATTAAGTGAAATTTTCAAGATGAGTTGCTGTCACTCTTTGCAGCAACTTTGAATTCATTCATTCATCGTTCATTCATTCAGTATACATTCAGTGCTACTAAATGCCAGGCACAATTCTGGACATCAGTAATGGAACTGCCACAAATCAGACTTTGTCCTTCTACGTGGAGCTTGCCTTTTGTGGGAGGTAGATGTGAGCATGTTTGGGTGTTGCCCATACATGGGAAATAAGTGTCTTGGGAAAGTGTAATGGTCAGGAGGTAGTGGAAGGGAAGTTGCATAAAATGTTACAGTGAAGTGAGACAAATCCAGAATTCATTAATGCGTACACTTCTATGTTAGTTATTAAACACAGATTTGAAACTAAAAAGAAAGAAGAGTGAAAGACAAACACATTATTTATTGCCAGTCATGGTTTTCCTTTATTTTAGAAATTTTAAGACTCACATATGCTTTGTATAAAAATATGAATCCCTTAGCTTCACTAACTTGGGTGCAAATGGCCTCGTTATTTGAGTCTCACCAGTTTGGTACGCCCAACCTGCATAAAGCCCAAGTTCAACCTTTATACCCCATGTAACCCCAGTCATTTGTGGGATTTCAGAAAGGTTTCCCCACAAGCATACAAGTATTATTTTATTATTTTTATTTAAAATGACACTCTTTGATTGGTGTGCCACCTTCCTGAGTGTGGAGCTGTCTTTGAAAAGTTAACGTTTTTATCAGTGGGAGCTCGATACCAACCTACTGTGACAGGTGGGGACAAAGTCTCATCAGTCCTGTTATTTCGTTTCTCTTTCCCTTTTTCGAAGCAACTATGCACATATCTCCTTCTTCTAAAATCAGTCCCCTAACAACTTTCCCACCATATTCCCCTTATTAAAAAAATCTAAACCCTTATGCATACCAAATCATGAAAACAGATGTATGAGACCCATCTTACACACTTGCTGTCCTAAATTAACTCTAATTTTCCACAATACTAGGAATGCTACTGAATTTTTCTAGGCCTCAAGTTTTTCATCTTTAAAATATTAGGTTTTACATTTTTAGGACTTTTCCCCTACTTTTAACATAGTCCTAATGACTAAGAATTTCTGAATTTTTAGGATACAAAATAATTTTTTCATAGAATCTATTTTTATTTTAAAAACTTTCCAAAATGATAAAATATAATCCATCCTACACATCTGCTCATGATTTTACCTGGAGTGTTTATGCTACACT